CATGGGGAAGGATGAGAGCACCTCCCGGAACCGCCGCTCGCTGAGCCCCATCCTGCCTGGCAGCCACAGCTCCGCGCCCCCACCAGGTAAGCCCGCACCCTTCATGAGCCCAGGCCCAGGGCAGCCAGGCTGCCAGCACCACCCAGAGGCTGCTCACAGTCTGGACCCCTCTCTGTTCCAGACCCTGGCTTCCCCGCCCCGAGCCCACCACCAGCCGACAGCCCCTCTGAGGGCTTCTCTCTCAGGGCTGGGGGCACAGCCCTCCCACCCGGGCCCCTGGCTCCCTCGCCACTGCCAGCCACACCACTCAGCGCCAAGGAGGATGCCAGCAAGGAAGACGTCATCTTCTTCTAAAAGGGCTGTGACTCAAGGTGCAAGGCCCCTCCCTGCCCTGCCCACCCTTCCTGCTCTCTGGGGACCCCGTGGGGTCACCATGCCCACCAAGCTGTCCCCCCTTCTTCCTGAGCAAACGGTGATGACCGCCTGGCTGGGCCCGTCCTGGTGATGCTCCAGGCCTCACAGCTCCTTCTGTAGGATTAGCGGTGGTACCTGGGTCACTTTCTGAACCTCTTTTTTTTTTTTTTTTTTTTTCAAAAAGGAAAGTTTTTGATGGAAAGTTGAGCCAGAACTAATCCAGGGAGCTGTCTGAAATCATAGAGCGCCATAGAGCGCCCCATCCAGATGGCAGGGAGATCACCTCCGAGCTGTTTTTCTGAGGCAGTGAAGAGCGGTGCCAGCTCTGCATGGAGCCAGGGACAGGGCCGACCTCGCTCTGAGAAGGAGCTGCCGGCTGGGCCCACGCTCCACGGCCACATGCGACACGGAGCCAGGGATTAGGGAGCCAGGAGGGGCTGGTGGCGTCAGCAGCATGTCTCCAGAATCAGGCAGAATCCACGTCCCAAGCAGAGACCCATGCAGGTTCACCGTGAACCTCAGGGCCAGAGAATGAGCCAGGCACGGGGGCAGGGGCAGGGCCTGCTGAGGGGACACCAGTGGCACTCCAGGCAGGTTCTGTGGGTTTGGATGCCCATTGCGAAAGGGGCTGACCTTTGCTCCTTTTTACTTGGCACCGGTTTTGAAACCAGCTGGTTCCCGAAATCTGCTTCCCCAGGGCACCCGTCGTCATTCAGACGCTCAGCCTGTCTTGGGGACGGGCCTCTAGCTTCAGCCAGGGCGGGTACACACCTCTGGCGTAGGATCCTCAGCCCCTGGGAAATGAGCTCCCAGGGCTGGGGTCCCACCTTCCGGGTGGGGGCTAGCACATCACAGACTGTCTAGAGTGCCGCGCTCCGGGGCATGAGAGGAAGTGCCTAGAGACGTTGTGGCGAGCGGACAAGTGGCCGCTGTGCGGGCCCCTCACTTGCATGAGCTGCTGCAGCCCCTGGTCCACCACCCCGGAGGAGTGGAGGAAGGAGGTGCTGGGCAGTGTGGAAGGTGCTGGGATGTCCCGAGGTGGACAGATCCACCCATGATCTGGCTCCGGTGGAGGAGGGGCACATTTCAAACCTTGTTCTGCACCCCAGGGTTCCCCACGGCACCTCCGGAAGCATTGGTGGCAGGACTCAGGACTGGGTCCTGGCTGGTCGTCCTTGTTCCCAATGGGGCATGCGTGCCCCCTGCCCCCCGAGTTCCAAGTCCTTCTCCCAAACCCAGGGTCCCCAGAACCGCAGATCCGGGGGATTGCAGCTCTCCTCCCACCACACTGGCAGAGCCACTCCTGTGATGCTGAATACAGTGAATAGGGACATTGCCGCCACCCGGGGCACAGGGGAGGGGAAACTCCGTCAGGAAGTGCTCCCCTGGGCAGAGGCTCCCACTGGGTGCTGTGGGCTCCGAAGGGGACAGGGCAGGAGCTGATGCCGAACAGGAACTGGAGCCAACACAGTGAGTGGCTGGGCATCCCCAGGCCCCGGACCCTTGGAGGACCTCAGCTCCACTCAGCCCGGTCCTTTGCTATCAGCAACGCTCTCTGCCCTGTGACCCAAGTGTCCCGGCCCCCCCGTCAGATCCCTTCTGTGCCATGTTTATTACCAGTGTTTTGTATTTTTGTACTGAGTACCAGAGCACTTTACAAAAGCTGACTGTACGTTCCTGTTCTGTTGTGAAGAGAACATTCCCGGACCCTCACACCCCTGGAGCTGGCATGCGCCACTCCAGACCTCTGAGACACCACAATTCCTTGGATGGGAGAGAAGTTCAGGGAATTTCTTCTTGGCCACGTGGTGGGAACCTACATCCCCGCCACATGGCCAAGGGGTCTCAGTTGTGCTACGCGTGGGGTGGCGGCGTTGACAGCCCTTCCCTCACCAGTGCCCTCGGCCATTCCTGGGTGGTGCCCGATTTTCTTTGTAAAGTTGACAGTCGAGCAAATGTTCATATTTTTGTGGGATCTGCACGCGTCTTCGTCAGTTGTGGTCATGATCTTAGTCACCTGCTAATTATTTTTACAGTGATTACAACATTTCCTCACCAAGGGATATTTCTGACCCGCCTTAGAACTTAAGACCTGATTCTAGCAATAAACGTGTCCAGGATGAAGAGTGACTGGCATGGGTGTTCTTGGGGGTTTTGTTTTAGGATCATCTGTCCAAATGTCGCTGCAGGAGTAGCAGGTTCTGGGGTTCTGGTGGGGGGCTCTCCATGGCTTCTGTACCTTAGCTCGCCCCCCTGCCCTCCGTGTCCTGCTCAGAAGACCCCTTCAGTTCCAGTCCCCAGTTGTTGGTTTTGTTTGTTGGTTTTGGGTTTTTTTTT